AACCCTGCTTACATTTTCACAAACGTAAGGTTTGGGTGAGGCGACCCATCGTTACTTTTATCCCAGACGCCCTCCGATAGTTCTATGCTAACGAAGAAATGATAAAGAGAATTGATAATGAAGGTTTGGGGCGCGTCGAGGTTTAAATCCTCGTGATAGTTTCCTGATTTCAGGGAACCGTACGTCAATAGAAGTGTTCTTAGGCAAAGGTGTAGTGCATAAGCAGCATTCACCATCATTTCAGTCTTGCCAATGCACATAATGCAACCTGTTTGAATGTAATATTCAAATGTAAACACTCTCACGTCTCCATCAGACTGGCTTACTGTGAGTTTAGTTGATTCATATGGTCATTTCAAGGTGTACGTCTCAACCCATTTTTTGTTGTGTGCGTGAGATGATGTTGAATTCTGTATGTAGGAAAGGAATGGTGTTATAACCTATGTAATTGTCACAATGTCCACAATGGATATGATTTCTGAGTAATAACATTTCACCGTAAGGGGGATACTGAACTTAGGTTGTCCTAAAGTATAATGGAAACATAATATCAATTCTTGATGAAGATAAAAAGTTGTTGAACATTTATATATCGTGGCCTTCTTATTCTCAAGACTGTCATTTTTGAGAGTGATGCCTTGTCAGTGCCTAAACTTACTTTCATTGTAAACATGACCATTTGTTTTATTATTTCGAAATGCAAAAATGTCTGTTTTGTTTTTCTTTCTGGAAGCATCTGTGTAGTATTTAATCTGCAATTTAGAAACATTGTAGTCTTTCATCCTCATTATTATGCTGTGTTTGTGTGTGCACCTTTTTGGCAATTTTAGGATTCTCGTTCCTGTCATCTTTGGCTCGACTATAGGTTGGAATTCGTTTTTTCTTTCAAGACGCTAGTGTCCTGTGATTTGTGAAGCACACGAGAAAATTGAAGGATCTTTGTCGATTCATCAGATGGGGGCCGGAAGCACTAGACTGTTATGAGTGATTCTCAATTTAGCCAGCTGATACCATCTGAAATGAGTGTTCATTTTGAAAATATCTATAAAATATTTGAGTGCTGGACTTGCTTTTGCCTCTCGCTTAATGCTTTAGATGCTGAAGGAGGGTTGTCATGTCATCAAAGATTCTCCTGCCTGAAATTACTTTCTTTTTATCCCTGAAGCATCTTCTCTTGAATGTCCAACTGAGTGAACATTCTGAATGAATCGTCGTGTACCGAAGTAAGATTGCTGCCCATAATTTCCATCAGAATTGAGATGATTTACAGAACCTGGTGTCTTGCAGTTGTAGTAGGGACATGAACAATACTGCTGTTTTGTCTTCAGAGTGCCTCCGGTTTTTGTCATTATTATTATTTTTGTCTTTGTTTTTATAAATATATATATAATATATATATATATATATATATATAAGTAGGTATTGAGAACTGTCCTGTATATAACAGTAATGTAGCAATAAATGTGCCATTTTTAATAACAGAATTATACTTTTTTTTTTCAATGTCTTGCTTTGGATCTTGTATACCTTCAAATGAGTTAAATAAAAAAAAACATTGTAATAAAAGTCTTCCCATTGCGTGTCTTTTCCATAGACTGTATGAAAACAGGGTCTTTTCCGAAAATTGCTTGGAGTAAAGAGAAGTGAGTAGGGAGCGCGAGGATCCTAATTGGCTGTCAATGTTTTTTTTTTAATCGTTCATCAACTGTAAACAAAACAAAAAAAAATTATTCTGAACGTGAGCTATATGTACCTCAGTGTCGTTATCGTCATACAAACGTTATAGTCATTGTTGTGAACTGGAGTTATGTGGTCTTTCATAATTCATAACATAAAACGTTGCAGAGCAAAACTGAATATCTTTCAAAGATTTAAAACCACCTACCGCGCAAACTGCTTAACTTCTAGACTATATCTTTCTCAGAAGTGCTCGATGTAGCCAGCTAACGTTGTTAAACGTTGTTTCTAGGTGGACTGATCAAAATCTGTAGGCTACACGCTAACTCCAAATAGTTAACGTTATGCAGCTGCTAGCCAGACTATTTTAACCAGATCTAGCTATTTTGTGCTTTTTTTTATTGAACAATTTGTCATGTACAAACAAAATACCAACAACATGCATTAGAACGGTAGGAGCAGGTGTATAAAAGATAAATATAGTACAAAACTAAAATTAATAAAGTGAGCGAAAATTAAAAGGGCTTTTCTTGTAAATCAGATTTTTCTCTTATAGTAAAAAACATTTTTTTTTGCAGTTTTCTTTTTGCGTCCCTGTGCATTTCATAATCCTTATTCAAACCAGTTAATAACACATCCCCAGCATTTATTCACACTCTAAAAATCTGTTTTATGCATATACAGTATCCTCAGTTCCAGAATTTTCTATCAGGCTATTAACGGACAGCCCGGGGTCCTAAAACAGCCATTTGAACATGTTTACTTTCTGAACAGAGGAAGGCAAGATACAAAAGATGCAAAAAATCATAAAGCGGATCGGACCCAAATATGTCTCCATTGCCAGGACGTGGTAAATTCATCCTGGATTTAATAAATAGTTAACTAGAATATGTTAACTTAAAAGTCAAGCAGCTCATCTGACATTTAGCATGTGTTTCCACTGTTATAATTCTAGAATAGCATGCTAGTAACTATTAATTAGTAATTATAGTTTTTTTTCATACGTTTGGTTTCTTTTCTTGCAATTCAGGGTTCCCACGCTGGTCGGATGGGCTACAGTTGGTGGCCTGGCTGTTGTCCATTTTACAGACTGGCGGCTGATTCTGGATTATGTTCCCTACATTAGAGGCAAATTCAAGAAGGATGACTTAACTTAGTTAGCAACTCCTTATGGATCTGATCTGTGGAAAGCGGTTGCTGTGCATTTTTACAGGGAACAAATAAAGCTGATGCTTTGACTAGCCAGTAGGCGGCACTGATGATGCGACATCAGCCAGATTATCTGTCACTTTAAGACTTAATTTTATGTACTGCTATGGTTGAATAATATCTCATAATGTCCTAATGGTGTATTATCAGACTGCAGATAGCTAGCATGTCTTGCTAATAAGTTGCTGTCTTTATGTAAAGGGAGTGTTTAATGCTTAGCACATCACTTAGTTTGAGCTTGCACATTGAGCATAAAAGATGTTGTTACTTTTGTGAATAAATAGTAATGTTTCTCTATGCACGTGTCATAACATTTAGTTTTGTTTTATATATTCATTGTTCTTAATAAACTGCACGTTGACAGAAATCAACGCCTCTTTGAGGAGGCATCTTACCTATACAAAATGTTACCATGGTTTCCGCCGTAATGCCCCTCACAAAAAAAAAAGAAGACATTCTCCCGAAATCCTTAGAAAAGAAAAGAAAAGAAGAAGAAAAACTGAGCAGAACTTGCTCACGTATTCCAGCACAATCACACAGGATTTTTGAGTGGGATTTCCTGCATGACTGGCGCAGGAAACCTACTGTGCAACTTCTTCAACAGCAACCTCAGAGAACAAGTAGTGAACTGTGCTTAAAATAAATAAAAATAGTAATAATAAGGTTATAATATCTTACATGATTTGAAGAACAACCGAAATTATGTTATGTAAAATTACTTTTTGAGCAATGTTGCCGGGCAACTTTGGGCAATGTTGCCATCATCGGGCAACCAGGTGAGACACAGGGCCCACGACCGATCTAAAGTATATACATTTGTTACCCATCCTCAATAAGAAAGTGCCCAAGCAACATTGCTCAAAAAAAGTTGCCCTGTGTATCATCAGCCTTACAGTATATTTGGTGTCCGAAGTCATTATTTTTTTCTGCTTTTTTTTTCAAATGCTTATATTTTTAATTATTTTAACAATTTATTACTTATTGTTATGAATTACAAGATGTTACAGTCAATAACACTATAATAATTTGTGTAAAAAGTGTCTTAAATAGCTGAAAATCATGATTTCTTGTTGTCCGAATTAGTCAGTGCATTTTTTCCATCATGTATCATTGAGTCATCAAAATATCTTATTGTACTTTTCTTTTTGTAATATTGCATTCATTTTATTTATAAAAGCCCTAAATAGTAATTTACTTAATTCTACAACATTAAAATGTTTAAAAATAACTTTTTTCTTATAAAAATGTGTGTCCATAAACCTTGCGTCAACTCTGTTACCGTACCATACTTTGCCTTTAAATTGGTGGAATTATCTCCCACAACTATGTAAGATACAGGCAATTATGTCACTTTCCCTCACTGATAAGATCTGAAGCACTGAAAAGTCTGTGTGCTCTCTCTGAGAAAATATTTTAATCTAAAAAGTTCTTATACCAATAGTTTTTTTTTGAAGAACATCAACACTGTTACCACAATATCAAAGGAAGACAGAATTTATTACTGATCACACAGTGGGTTATTTAAAAGTCTTTTAATTATGATTTCATTGGTGCCATGTGCTCTTAGCATTTATGCTAGCAAGTGGAGTTTTTGACAAAAAATAAAATAAAATTGTCAGTTCCGTTGTTACCGTCAAACTCTGTTACCAAGGTAGAGTAACATGGCTGACAATAGTGTAACAGAATTGACAGTCCACCGGATAATTTTGTCCATTCTGTTACTTAAAAGGTCAACTCTGTTTATGAACTATTTTCACACAAAAAAAAACAATACAGTTGTTTAGAATTTCATAAACATTATTGAAA